GAGATAAGGAGGTTAAAGGAGAAAAAGAGATTACGAAAGACAGAAGTGGAAGAGGGGATTTTCTCGTGGATCTCGTCACTCGTAGATGAACATTGGTCTTATTCATTTTAACTTACCTTTAGATAATGAATGAGCAAATCAGAGAAATGAAATTGCAATGCGCGAAATGGATTTGAAATTTCGTCATTGTCAAAAAATCACTTAGATTTTCACGATATGAAATTAAGTCTGTTGTACATGAAAGAAGTAACAGAGTACAGGGAAGAGTTGTTTTTTTTATATTGAATATAATGTACTATTTTTCTAGATTGACAAAAAAGAACGTTAAACACATCAACACCAACTTAAATGTATAGTCTACGTTCACTAACCATCTACGTTTGACAAATTACTAGTAATCATTCGCTAAACCGAAGATATTTTCTTGGATTTGACAAAAAAGCAAATCAAATATATATAGGCATATATACAAAATATGTCAAACCAAGAAAAAAATAAAGGAAAATATATTCAAAATATTTAAAATCAAACATCTAAATTCAAAATAAAACATAAAAAACATATATGGTTTCTGGCATCGGTTTAACGAAAATAAACTGCTACTGAACGAAACTACCTTAGACTACAAACACACAATATCGAACACTCGAAAAGCTTTTGTACATATAACAAGGAGGAATAGAAGACAGATTCACAAGAGATATTCTAAGACAACTTAAGTAAGTCATGAGTCATTGAGATTTGCAGGCAATCAGTCCTCTCATTCCTGCATGTACATTAACCTGATTTGTTTTTTCATCTTTTAAAATACTGACGCATAATCGTGCTGATAGGACATAAGTACCTTTGCCAATAGAAATTATCTACAAATTGCACTATCTATATATTGTTTTAAAATCATCAGGTGAATGTATAACGGTAGTCTTTTGTTCGACGCCTTGTAGATGGAGGATCGAATGGCTTTCAGAGTAGGATCAAGGAGTTTAAAAATCCCGCCGATCCTCCATTCTACCGAAGGCTTTGATGAGGGATGATCAGTGAGAACACTTTTGCGTACTTTTAGGCCTACGAGGCGGCCGCATGCGGGGTCATTTTGTTGGAATAAATGTGCTGGAGCGGCCTCCGTGCGTTGCCATGGCGTGGGCTTGAAGTCTTTGACATAAAAGGAGTGACGCGATCTTTCTTTCCCGCCTTGGCAACGCTCGGGAGGTGTGTGTGACGTAGGCGAGGCAGTAAAAGCAAATAGTGCTTGTCAATCAGTACAATATACGCTTAATCCATTCAGTTTTCGAACCACAGGGTGAAAGATGTTTTTTTTTTTCGTTCAAGCAAGAATTCCCTTGACGTGAATAATATGTTTCCTGGAAATCAAGTCTAAGAATCGCAATGCCGTTCGAGATCTGAGAGATGTTGCCATCTGGAGAGGACTTCACTGCGGTTTCCTAGTGCTCATTTTGCGAAATATCGCCAGAATTAACGTTCGGAAAGCAAGAATGATACTTGACATTTAAAGAGAGAGAATAAAAATAAAAATAAATGAATAGATAAAATAATAGTCATGTCTAATCCCCCAAAGCCAAACATCTTTCTCCCTTCGTCGCTGGCTCTACATCAACGTCTACAGCGTCAACAAAGCACTGTGCGTAAATAAGTCATATCTGCGACACGTGCGTTTTCAAGAGCAACTCATTGGCCACTTGGGTACAGAGAATGCAATGCTGGAGAGATGCGCCTCGTGTCATTCCCAAAAAAAGCAAAAAAGATTCCATTATCCCAACCTGGTCATCGTCAAGAATTTCTCCCGGTCTCAAGCGACTCTGTGTTAGCAAATAAGATCACGTGATAATTTGTCTCTGGACTGAAGATTGTGCAGATTAACTTTTTATGATTATTCTTTAAAGATGGAAACGTTAAATAGTAGTCTGTTAGTGCGTTTTTTTTTGTTTTTTGTATTTTATATAAGAAAGAGCAGAAAGCATAGCCAAGAAGAAGAAGGAGGTTGAAATCTAGAAAGAAAGAAAAGAAGGAAAAAACGCGCGCGAACGCAGAAATAAATATTGCAAAAGAGGAAAAAGCGCCAACCGAAATTATTCCAGAGACGGTCAAAATAAGATGAGAGAAATAACGGTTTTTTGTTTTTGTTTTTTTAAATGGCTGTCTTTGGTTTGTTTTTTAGCATGAGTTTCGTATCATAGTTTTAGAAGTTTAGGAGTATATATTATTTTACAATATTTTTTCTCTGTTTTGGGTTAAGACATCGTGGAATATATTAAATACAAAATATAATACTGGATTGTCTAATGCTGACCACGCACGGTCAGCTGCTGGAGAATCGGCTGCATCCGTCTGAAGTTTTCGAAATGCGCTGAAAAAGGTGCTCTGTTGTTTTTTAATTGAATTTGGATTTTTCTTTAGAGCTAATTTAGTAGAAGCCTTCGCTTTTTTATCGTTTGTTTTTATTTTGGTTTGGTATTTTTTGTTGTTGTTTTTATTTAATGGGGTTTAGCGGTTTTTTTCAGGTTTATGTAAAAAAGTGCAGCAGGATATAAAGGTAAAGAAAATAAATGTGTTAGACCTAAGATAATTGCTCGGCAAAAAGAAAGCCTCAGCCAAATAAAACCGATTAATTACAGCAAATAAGCCATATATCAAAGATTATTTGTCTACAAGTACCCAGCAAACCGATATGGAAAAGGAAATGCTACTGCAAGAATCTTAGGTCTGACTATGAGGCATAAATAAAGGCACGTTCGTGTAAGCCACTAAAGGAATGCTTAGCAACTGGCTAGCGTGACGTCACGGATACGTGACGCCGAGCTAGACGAACGTGCCTGAGCCTAAATACGATCACGCTTTTTAAAAAACACTGGAAAGTAGAAAGATTTGTGATTCTCTTTTGTTTAATGGTTGAGATTTTATCAGAAGAAATGTTGGATTTAGGGCACGTTGGGGTGTTGCGGAATCAAAAGTGTTTTTAATTAAATAAATGCTCACTTTGAAGGAACGAAAAGGTTGAAAAGTCTAGGAAAGAAAAGAAAAAAAGTAGTGGAAGTTTGAACATAGAACTAATTCACTGATTATGAAGACAAAGATTTTGTTTTGTCTCTTTTTACAGGAACGAAAATAGATAACAAAAGGAAAGAAAAAATAAGAAAAAAGAAAAGATAAATGCCATTTTATCAAACCACTGCCATTATTACTTTATGACACTGGTTTTCAGACAGAAAAAAAAGAAAAGTAACAAAACAGAGAAAATTAAGAAAAAATAAAGATAAATATTGAAACCAAATCAAACAATTCAGAGGCATCCTTGAGTGGATGTTTTTCTTAATATTAGTAAAAAATTGGACAGATAACGAGAAGAATTCAAAATAAAATTTGCGAGACTAAGAATCACGTCTCACACGTATCAAAGAGGGGGTGGAGAGAGAGGGGGAGGGGGGGGTGGCGGAGGAAAAAAACAAACACAATCCCAAAAAAACAAAAAACAGAGGGACGTAGGGAGGGGGAAAGAAATCAAGAAAATACAGAAGACAGAAGAAAGAACGATTTATCATTCAAGAGTTTAACATTCAACGTCGACTTTACAGTGTGCCACAGATCTACAGTGTTGCCACATCTGCCGGGCTCACCTGTTTGACTCCCTGCTCGCCTGGCTTAAGTTTCCCCTTGAAGAGAAGAAGTGGAAAAGACATGGTATTATTTACTTAGAAAAGAAACAAGATTTAACAGCAAGATCTGGAAAGCAATTGCCGTGGGCGACTTCTGCGCCGGAGTGTTTAGTTATGGGTCGATCGAACTACTACACATATAAAAAGTTTTAGAAAAAAAAAAAAAAAAAAAAAAAAAATGATAATGACAACTCAGCTAAAAGTGCGAGTGTGCAATTGCTGAATAGTTGAAAATAGAATGGAAATGCACCTGAAATGATATACACATATTTACATAAAAGTTAGATGACACGTTATGTGTGGATGAATAAATACACTGTTTTCCGAATGTTAGTCAGGTTAGTTCATAGGCAACTCAGGCTGGAGGCAACGGTAAGGAGTCTCAAACACTGGATGTTTTGCGCTAATACTGAAGGTCATCCTTTGTCAGCAAGCTACCAGAGGGGGTGGGGCCCTCTTTACTTAGCGGGCTACCACAGGGGAATCGGTTAGCCCCACTCAGCAAGCAACCAAAGTAGGCTGGTTATCCGCCGTTTAGCGTGCTACCACAGGGGCTGGTCGGCCCCTCGCAAGCTATGACTTGTGCCAGTGTCGACAATTTGAGCTCATATGTTTGTATGTTTGCATACATATATACATATACATATACATATACATACACAATTACTTTCATATATATATTATATATATATATATATATATATATATAATATATATACATATATATATATATTATATATATATATATATATATATATATATATATATATATATATATATATATTATATATATAACACACACTCATACACATACATATGCCTGTAGATGCCCCGCACGGACTCCGCATCCTCCGGGCAGCAGCATATGAGGCGCCACCTTGCCGACAGTGGCACAACCTTAACTCTTACATCATACCCAAGCACATGCCTATGTATCGCCTATAAGAACATACATAAACAGCAGCTTCTGAGACGGTCATTTATTTTATATTCCAATTCTGAGAGAGGCCACAGGCAATAACATTCATTGTACTGGAAGACATTTAGGGCTAGAGTCCAATGTTACTGTAGGGACAAGT